CGCCCCCCAGGACCGCAGAGGCCCCGCTTTGTGTCAGTTTCTGCGGGAGGCTGCGGCCCCAGTCCCCGCTGGAGAACCAGACCCGCCCCTGGAGGGCGGCAGGGGAATTTGCGAAAGGAGAAATCCGGAGACTGTGCACAAGAGAGGGGTTGACAAATAGACACATTTTGCCGAATACAATATGCAGCCCTCCTCCTCCCCCCCCCCACACACCCCAGAAGTTAGACTATATATTTATTTACAGGTTTCCCAGACACCCAACGTGGTAGTAAACGGAACGTTAGACTAGTTTGTACAATAAACTTAAAATATGTTTATGGACTTATGTAAACAGAATCTCTAATGGATGATACACAGCAAACTTCGAATTTGTTATCGGGGCAAGTCGATTACTTGTGTTTTTATTTCATACATGAACATTTTAATGGTATTCTGGTATTTCAGGGTATTTTATCTGTGATAAAATAAGATTCAATCCACAAAACATGCATGAAATGTCCTGTTCAAACAGCTGGCAGTGACCCCTCCTGTAACTGTTTTTGGGGGGGGGTATTGGGGGTTTCTTGAACTTTGTTCCTAATCTTGATTCATTTTAACCAAGTGAGCCAGGACCTGCCTCTTGGCCCAGCTGGGTCCTGCCTTGAATCTGTCTGTTCATCTGGCTTTCAACCCTGGCCAGAAACCATGTGTCACTTTTGATGGCTGGCCCCAAAGGCCTGAGGGCTTTCCGTGGCCTCTGTCCACCCTCCAGTTTCATCACCCTTCACTGCCCTTTGCCCTAGCTCTCCAGGTCCTTGGGACCCTGTCCCCAGACTGAACTGTCCTCAGAAGAGAACACAAACAGCACCTTCTTTATCACAAAACCACGCCCTACTTGAAACTTCCAAGGGGGTGTGGATTCAAAGGTAAAGTGGATCCTGTATTATTCAGGTTTCATTATAAATCCCTAAACTACAGTAAGTATAAGTGAAATACCATATTTTATTCATCTTTAAGTTCGCCACTTTTTCTGGCCATAAACAGGTGCTCGTTGATGGGTAGACAGACAAGACAGATGCCTTGGGGTAAGGAAGGTAACCCTAGGTCACTCCAACAGTTTGATGTCGAAAACTGATCAAATCACACACTGCCTGTATGGTAACTTTTCTCCTCTTTTACATTCTCTTTTATTTTAATTTTCTCCCTTAAGCCTATTTATTTTAAAAGATGTATGCATACAAAACTGGGGTACAGGCCAGAGGTGTGTGGGGGGGAGAGGGGTGAGAGGATTCACCAGAGATAGAGTAGGAACAGAACAGGCAAATCTATTGGAATCCATCGCTGAGGGGAGTAGCATGTGAGACTGACAAGGTCTGCCACGCCATGTGGGTCACCTTCCTGGCCGGGGATCGAACTAGTGCTGCAGTGGCTGTGGATGGCATCATAGTGCTGTGCTTCACCACCAGGGAGGCCCCCTTAAGCCTTTCTGTTTTCTTTATATAGTCTCCAAGTTTCAGCTGACACTATCCTCTTGTTCTTTTTCAGATTTCATGTTACTGTTTCAGTTTTATTTTAAAGTCCTATATCATGTCTACTTTTCCTAGAGTTTGGCTTTTCTTTCCAGTTTCTGTGCTGAGTTACAAAGTCTGTCATAAATGTTGGAAATCAATGAAATAATTATTGAAGTAGTAAGTTCCGTCACATAGGAATGAATGGACAATTTATTAGAAAACTATGCTATAAAATACCTTATAATTCTTAAAAAGGATGAGCTCAAATCATACCTTGGGGAGTGTTCTCCATATCTATTTTCAATGAAAAAAATTATGACCCTATATTTGTAGTTTATGTTTATTTGACAGGAAAAACTAGGATATGTTTGATTAGTTTAGCAAGTGGGGAGGACTGACCAGTAATCTTTTTCTTTAAACAGTCTATATGTTTAAATGTTATAAAAGCCATGTGAAATTAAAAAAAAAAAAAAGAGGGGGGGGGCCTGTGAGCCCTCTCTGGTGGTGCAGCGGGTGAAAGCACAGACCAAAGAAGCTAAAGCCACTTCAGCACCAGTTCGATTCCCATCCTGGAGGTGACCCACACGGTGCAGCAGACCTCTCTTGACCCATCTGCTGCTCCCCTCAGCAGTGTGCTTTGTCGATCAGCCTGTTCTGCTCCCCACTCTGTCTCTGGTGAAGCCTCTCACTGCCCCTGCACCTCTGCACCATTTCTGTATGCTGCTCCCCTCAGCAGTGTGCTTTGTCCATCA